ATGACATCACTTGCCGCTGCAGCTTGACACAGGTCAGAGTATTTTGGTGGTTGCCATCTTCAAACGGTCGTATCTTAAAAACTATAACTCCTACAGTGAAGAGCTTTATATTGTGAGAATCACAAGACCCAGACCTACATTTTGATGCATAGTATGTGTCTGAAGTATTAAAATTGAAGGCACAGTCGCAGTTTAGAAATTGCACTTCAAATTTGAGCTTTGCAGAGTGAAGTTTCAATGAAAGTCAATGGACGGCGTTAGTTGCAAACAAATGATTATATTGTGAAAACTATCAGGACTACGGCTTAGCTGTTGACATGTTTAGTGGCAGCAGGGATAGCTGAACGTTTTGATATAAGATTTGTGTAGGTGGGCCTGAAAATAAGGGAGTGGTGGCAGTTTGGAAATCATGTCCTGATTTTTCAGCTTTTGCCAGCTCCCACTCTAGCTTTGCCATTCATTCCTAAGGGACAAATTGCGCCACAAGAACGACGATATTCAAGGAAATTGGCAAAACGTGGAACAATCTGCACGCTTTTGGTAAATTTTGGTCTATGTAGTGTAAAACTGTGGAGTGAGTTAGCAAAATTTTGCTATAATAATAAGAATACACACAATAATATATATAGATATGGTCTTGCTATGCAAGAACACTTAATAATAATAATAATATATATGAGATAACATTAAGTGGTCTTGCTATGCAAGAACACTTAATAATAATATATATGTGAGATAACATATGGTCTTGCTATGCAAGAACATCTAATAATATATATGTGAGATAACATTAAGTGGTCTAAGCATGCAAGAACACTTAATAATAATATATATGTGAGATAACATTAAGTGGTCTTGCTATGCAAGAACACTAATAACTAGAAAAGCTACAATTTCTGGGGAAATTGTGTGAAGTGTTCTTGCCTCCACCAGTAGTCTACAACTGGAGTGGGCGGAGTAACTGTTATCATTTACATAGTACATTTAATTGCAACGTTGTTGCACAGTTACATTAAACCATACATTTATAAAAACATTAGCAGGTGTTCAAAAGGCCCTGTCTATGACATCACTTGCTGCTGCAGCTTGACACAGGTCAGAGTATTTTGGCGGTTGCCATCTTCAAACGGTCGTATCTTAAAAACTATAAATCCTACAGTGAAGAGCTTTATATTGTGAGAATCACAAGACCCAGACCTACATTTTGATGCATAGTATGTCTCTGAAGTATTAAAATTGAAGGCACAGTCGCAGTTTAGAAATTGCACTTCAAATTTGAGCTTTGCAGAGTGAAGTTTCAATGAATGTCAATGGACGGCGTTAGTTGCAAACAAATGGTCATATTGTGAAAACTATATTTTGTGGCAAAATTGGTCCCATAGGAATGAATAGCAAAATGTTCAAAGCTAGAGTGGGAGCTGGCAAAAGCTGAAAAATCAGGACATGATTTCTAAACTGCCACCACTCCCTCATTTTCAGGCCCACCTACACAAATCTTATATCAAAACGTTCAGCTATCCCTGCTGCCACTAAAAGTCATTCCAGAAGCTTTGAGGAAAGAGGGAAAAGGGATATGGACGATAGTTGGAAGGGGAAGCCGGGTCAAGAGATGGCTTTTTTTAAAACAAGTACAACAGTAGCGTGTTCAAGGGGAGCAGGGACAACACTAGAAGAAAGAGAGCAGTTGAAGATGTGCGTCAAGGATGGCTCAAGACAAGGGGAGAGAGCTGATGAGGTGAAATGGGACAGGATCGAGCGGGCAAGAGGAAAGGAGAAGCGCCGCCACCTCCTGTTTAGTAGCTGGAGAGAAGTGGGAGAATCAATTCCTTAATTATTTAATCTTGTCGGTAAAGTAACATGCAAAGCTATCAGCTGAAAGAATAGTTTGTGCGGTGGCAAAGTAGAGCGTTGAAGGCAGTGGCGTACACATGACCCATGGGGCCCCGGTGCGAAAATTGATCCGTGGGGCCCCCCCGCGCGGGCCGGGCCGCAACACATGGCGGTGGGCACCTGGTCGCAGGGGTTACAGGGCTGCGACCGCGGTATGTACGCCAGTGCATGCAGATGCACACACACTTAAAGGACCACTCTAGGCACCCAGACCACTTCAGCTTAATGAAGTGGTCTGGGTGCCAGGTCCAGCTAGGGTTAACCCATTTTTTCATAAACATAGCAGTTTCAGAGAAACTGCTATGTTTATGAATGGGTTAAGCCTTCCCCTATTTCCTCTAGCGGCTGTCTCATTGACAGCCGCTAGAGGCGCTTGCGTGCTTCTCACTGTGATTTTCACAGTGAGAGCACGCCAGCGTCCATAGGAAAGCATTATGAATGCTTTCCTATGTGACCGGCTGAATGCGCGCGCAGCTCTTGCCGCGCGTGCGCATACAGCCGACGGGGAGGAGAAGAGGAGGATCGGAGGAGGCGAGCTCTCCGCCCAGCGCTGGAAAAAGGTAAGTTTTACCCCTTTTCCCCTTTCCAGAGCCGGGCGGGAGGGGGTCCCTGAGGGTGGGGGCACCCTCAGGGCACTATAATGCCAGGAAAACGAGTATGTTTTCCTGGCACTATGAAATAGTCACTGGAACCACTACAGACGCAGATCACATCAGCTCAATGAAGTTGTCTGGGTGTCAGGTCCCTCTAGTTTTAACCCTGCAGCTGAAAACATGCTTGGTTCAGAGAAACTGCTATGAACACTGAAATTTAAGTAAACCTCTAGTGTGGCTGTCTCACTGACCTTGTGGGAACACACTGAGCGATCCATAGGAAAGCATTGGTAATGCTTTCTATAGTGGACTGAAATCGTCTTGTGGTCGCATTCGGAGCTGAGAGGCTGAGGGATCCTCAGCGCCAAGGGAGTCCGGCGCTGGAGAAAGGTAAGTGCTGAAGACACACACACTCTCACTTACAGGCGCATACACACTAGCTAACAGACACACACATTTACTGACAGAGACACACTCAGCGACAGACATACATACACACTCACTTACAAAACATACACTCTCATTGACAAACACACAATCACTAACAGACATCAAACAGACTTGCTAAGACACACACACTCAGTAAGACACACACACTAACACACACACTAACACACACACTAACACACACACTAACACACACACTAACACACACACTAACACTCACTCTAACACTAACACTCACACTCACACTCACACTAACACTCACTCTAACACTCACACTAACACTCACTCTAACACTAACACTCACTCTAACACTCACACTAACACTCACTCTAACACTCACTCTAACACTCACACTAACACTCACTCTAACACTAACACTCACTCTAACACTAACACTCACAATCACACTAACACTCACTCTAACACTCACTCTAACACTCACTCTAACACTCACACTAACTCTAACACTCACACTCACTCTAACACGTTTTTTTTAAATGTAATCCCCCCAGCCTCCTTACCTTTTGGAGTGCTGGGGGGATTCCCTGGGGTCCAGTGGTGCTGCTGGGCTCCTGGGCGGGTGGCCGGTCGGGCAGGCAGGCGCGCGAGGGAGCACTCAGTGCTTCCTCTTCAGCTCCCTCGCGCGCAGCGTAGGGATGCCGGAGCTGGAAGATGACGTCATCGCCCGGCTCCGGTATCAGTGCGATGCGCGAGGGAGCTGAAGAGGAAGCACTGAGTGCTCCCTCGCGCGCCTGCCTGCCCGACCGGCCACCCGCCCAGGAGTGTGTATGTGACAGCAGGGCCAGCCTCGGGGGGCCCTGGGGTGGCCGGCTCCTGGGCCCCCCAGGGGAAGAGGCTGGCCCTGTGGGTACATACCGGGTGGGCCGGGCCTGGTCGCAGCCGCGACCCCTGCGACCCTGGTATGTACGCCACTGGTTAAAGGTATTAAAGAGATTCCCAGGATTGCGGGAGCATGAACTAATGAGAGAGGAAAAGTAAGACTGTTTACTGTTTTATCTACTTGATTATTATTATTGTTTTATTTTTCAAATACATAGATTATTGAGTTTTCTTTTTTATAAACAATAAAAATATAATGTACATTCAAAACAGAGATTTTCCATCACAATATAAAAATATAAGATATGAAAATATACTGATATATGCTATATAACAATGCCAGTTCTATTCCATTGTATAGAAATATACAACATACATAAAAGACAATACAAACATTGCAAGTTGTGCACGGCGAGTATTACCAACATATTCGGAGTCTTAACTTTTTATCATCAGCATGTATGGAATATATCCTACTGAGCCAGCTATTCCAAATTAAATAGTATTTATTCTGTCTATGTTGTGCACAGAGCTAGCCCCGTTCCATTTTACATTGATATCTTCTTTGATTTCTTATTGTGTCTGTTCTAATTTCATCTTGTTGTCGCCACTTTCTTGCTATAACAATTGTCAGAGCTAAAAGGCATTGTATAATTAGCGCTGTGGCGAAAGTAACCTCACCACTGGTACTTGGAGGGCCCTGCAAAAAGACATGTTAAAAAGTGACTCCCATGGAAACACCAAACCACTGAACTGATTTGGGTGATCTTTGGATAAGTTGGTCACCCAGATCAGGACTATCCGAGGATGTGACTCTTGTGGGGTTTCCATGGATCTTGGGGGTACTTTTGGGGTGTTTGTAAATTGTGTGTTTTTCTGTACCTGGAGCTAATTAATTATCTCTCAGACACAGAGGAGTTTCCAAAGCAGGACGTTGTCCCAAGGACACTGCCAGACCAGTTTAAACTGGTTGCTTTGTCCCTCCTCAATCTCCCATTAGCCCTTGCTATTGTCTGCCCCCACCCTTCCTTGTACTATAGTGCTCTGTGTAACCTATTGTATGTAAATTAGGCTGTTGGGGATTTAAATGTATGTCTAAATTGTAAGTGCTGGCTTGCATTAAACAGACCTGCTTTACCCCTTCATGAAATCTTGGCTCATGTTTGTAGGAAATTTGCATTCCGTGAGATATTTGTTTTCCAGTTTTCTGAACAAATCGAATCAGAGTGTCTTGCAGTTAAAACCGTATATTTATTACAATATACACATCATCCGGTAACAACAAAAGTCTGGTTTAAAATCATATGGACCAATAGACAATGTATATTCACTTCTAGATCTTATCCAAGCTTGATGTTAAAAGGTATTGGTCGTTGGTGTTACTATGGGTATTGGTGGAATATTCTAGCTGCAAAAGGTATTTTATACATTTAAAATTCAATTACATAGGGCGTATACATAATGACATAAGGTTTGCCTGCTTTACAATAATTGGTTATCTAAGAAAAAATAGGTGGTAACTTAGTATTATTCGATATCTATGATTAAAGCCATACGTTATGATGTTTTGGTAAGTTACACACAAAGACCTTCTTGAGACTTCTAATTACATGATGGAATGAATGATTGCCTATAGAAATGTGAACCTTCACAGGAATTCAGGCTTACAAGGCTAGGTCAAAGGTTATTATCAACAGGGTCCACAAGTCTCCATCCATCATTCTTGACTTAAAACCATATGTGTGTAAATTACAGTATGTGTATAAATTACATTATGATAGTAATCTGTTAAGACACCTCCCGTGTCTTTAAGCCAAACCGCCGTTTAGTAAACCTTCCCCGGCTGCAGTACAGTCTCTGTTCGCTTACTCTGTAACCCACGAACCAAATGCAGGGGAAGCGGCAATCTCCCGATCGAAATCCACGAACGGCTCCAAACTCCCGAACGGCAATATACGAACTGCTAGGAACCGTCGAACAATAATATCCCCAAAGCGGCTTTCGTTCCATCCAGCAGTCTCTAAACGTGAAGAAGAAATCCCCCCAATAACGAGACAGAAGCTCCGCATTGAGGGTCAAATAAGATCTGGGTTTACTGTGGGCTACCTGCCCGTATTTATGCAGGTCTCCCACCTGGTGGACACTCCCCTAGGGGACCAAATGGAAGACTTAAAGTACAGACAGATAGCAGGACATTTCTGACACACAGTCACATATTTTACCCACAGTACATTCTGATTCCCTCCCCTCTGTCCTGGAGTTAATTACCAAGTAACTCAATTAACTCCAGGACAAGGACAGTCGCCATCTTAAACATGAAATAATAAAAGACACAAAAATGCATAACTACATGAAAACTGAACATTTCCCATTCGTATTACATGTCCCCAGATAGCCTGGATCTGAGTGCATATTATTGGCGAATAGCGCTCAGATCCCACACACATAGTTCAATCGCCATGGAGTCAAAGTTCTTACAGTCCTTCGGTACACGAATGACTCCATGGGTGGGCTATCTGGGTTAAGTCTTTTGTGTGTTCTCAATCTCCCGAACGGCCGATGTTCGCATGCTTTCGTGGAGGCAGCCAGGCGTTCCCTTGTTTCAGCGGTGTTCGACAGAAAAAGTGTCCGTTTTCCGTTCCATAGAAATAGAGCCAAACACCGCTGAGCGTTCGCATGATTTAAAATGGCCGCTGCCTCGTGGTCGACATACGAACGACGACCACCCTGAGTTCGGTTTAATTGAGAAGTGTCTGCGGTTAACCACAACGTTATAATGGTGATCACTTCGTTAACCTGCAGCACACTCCTCACTTGGGTGGCCGTTCGTTCGGCGGTTTTGTTCGGGAAAAAGAGTCATTCGAATGGCTGGGCTATAGAAACCAGCCATTCATACGAACGGGGACAAACAGACGAACGGGCAAAAATCCAGCAGACAGATGCTTCTGTCACACGGCTCCCTCCTTGTGGGACACTCCGGCAGACCCGGCTTGACCCTGTGGCGGGTCAACTTGGGGATGACCGGACTACGAGGTGATGGAAACGTCTGTTTGTCGTGACAACCCATCTGCGTTTCCTTTTAGCTTACCGGGTCTGTAGCTGATGGTAAAATTGTAGGGCTGTAGTGCCAAGCTCCATCTCAGCAGTCTCCCATTGTCTCCTGAGACCCGGTTAAGCCAAACGAGTGGGTTGTGATCAGTCACAAGGGAAAACTCTTGCCCATACAAATAGGGGCTTAACTTTTTCAGTGCCCAGACCAAGGCCAAACATTCCTTCTCCACTGCCGCATAACTCACTTCTCTGGGTAACAACTTTCTGCTGAGATATGCGACAGGGTGCTCTCCTCCATCTTCCCCGACTTGGCTCAGCACAGCCCCCAGTCCATACATGGAAGCATCTGTGTGTACGAGAAAGCGTTTGTTAGGGACTGGGGCAGCCAAGACAGGGGCAGCCAAGACAGGGGCATTCACAAGAGCCTGCTTCAGTGCCTGGAACGCAGCTTCACAAGCCGGAGACCACAGGACCTGCTTAGGCAAGTTCTTCTTCGTCAGGTCTGTCAGGGGCTTAGCGATAGCGCTGTAGTCAGGGACAAAACGTCTGTAGTACCCTGCCGTCCCCAAGAAGGCCAATACCTGGGTCTTAGTAGTGGGTGTTAGCTACTGCTTCTACCTTGGCTGGCTCTGGTCTCTGGCTCCCACACCCCACTCTGTGACCCAGGTACTGCACTTCAGCCATACCTAGATGACACTTTTCTGGCTTCAACGTCAGGCCAGCGGCCCTAATCTTATCCAGCACTACCCCTACATGTACCAGGTGTTCCTCCCAGGACCCACTGTAGATCGCAATGTCGCCCAAGTATGCACAGGCAAATTCTTGGAAGCCATCCAGGAGTCTATCCACCATCCGTTGGAAAGTAGCCGGTGCATTTTTCATCCCAAAAGGCATGACCTTAAATTGGTACAGGCCAAATGGGGTGACAAATGCCGACTTGGGGATAGCATCCTCGGCCAGGGGGATCTGCCAGTAGCCCTTACACAGGTCCATGGTGGTCAGATATCGCCCCCTGGCAATACGATCTAGTAATTCGTCTACCCGGGGCATTGGGTAGGCGTCAGTGGTGGTCCGCTCGTTGAGTCGCCTGTAGTCCACACAGAACCGGGTGGTCCCATCTTCCTTTGGCACCAGGACTACAGGCGAGGCCCAAGGGCTGTCGGAGTGCTCGATAACCCCAAGTTGGGTCATCTCCTGTATCTCCTTCCGCATTCCTTCACGGACTGCTTCAGGGATACGGTAGGGGGGCTGTCGCAACGGGGTCTGTCCAGGGGTCTCTACCTTATGCACAGCTAGGGTGGTATAACCTGGTTCCTGGGAGAACGTCACCTGCTTCTCCCATAACAACTGCTGCGCCTGTACCCTTTCTGTGGGGTTCAACCGGTCCCCTAGCTGTACCAAGGTAGTAAGGTCAGTCTGGGAATCCCTTTCTAATAGATCTGGAAGGGGTAAATTCTCAGAATCATCTGCAGCTGGGGCACACACTGCTGCAATGTTCTCAGGTCTCTCCTGGTACTCTTTCAGCATGTTCACATGAAAGGACCGCTGGATCCTCTCATCTGCACAGCTGGCTATCGAGTAAGTAGTGTCGCAGATCTGCGCCACTACCTTGTACGGGCCCTGCCAAGATGCTTGCATCTTGTTGGCCTTCACAGGTTTAAGCACCAATACCTTTTGCCCAACCTGGAAGACCCGCTGTCGGGCACCCTGATCGTACCATCTCTTCTGTCTCCCCTGGGCCACCTGGAGATTCTCCCTTACCATCAGGGACAGTTTCTCCATGCGGTCCCGGAGTTCCAAAACATATGGTACTATGGGGATCCCTTCCTGCTCCGTCTCCCCCTCCCAGTGGCCTCTAATGAGATCTAGGGGTCCGCGGACCCTTCTCCCATACAGCAGCTCAAAGTGGGAGAACCCAGTAGATTCCTGGGGCACCTCTCTATAAGAAAATAATAGATGAGGCAGGAATCTCTCCCAGTCTCTGCAAGTGTCTGTAAAGGTCCTCAGCATCTGTTTGAGGGTACCGTTAAAGCGCTCACAGAGACCGTTAGTCTGTGGGTGGTAGGGTGAGCTAAGTAATGGCTTAATGCCGCACACCTTCCACAGTTGCTGGGTGAGCACAGCGGTGAATTGGGTTCCCTGGTCGGAGAGGATCTCCTTAGGGAACCCGACCCTAGTAAAAATTCTAACCAGGGCATCAGCAACCGCCTCTGCCTCTATGTTAGACAGCGCTACTGCCTCTGGATAGCGGGTGGCATAGTCCACCACGGTAAGAACATACTTCTTACCGGATGGACTAGCCCTGGCCAGTGGACCTACAATGTCAACGGCTATGCGGGCAAAGGGCTCCCCTATAATAGGCATCGATAATAGCCTAGCCTTAGGGTGGTCCCCCCGCTTTCCTACCCGTTGACATGTGTCACACGTGCTGCAGTGCATCCGCACAGCCTGGTTAAAGTTTGGCCAAAAGAAGTTCTGTGAAATCCTATAGGCTGTGCGGCGGGACCCTAGATGTCCAGCTAAAGGAACATCATGCCCTATCCGCAGAATCTCCTGCCGGTACTTTGCAGGTACCACTAACTGGCGATTCACCGGAGAGGCAACACTCTTCTGGGAAGGTTTAGGGATCCTATATAACCTGTCCCCCACCCACTCATACCGTTCCCCATCTATTCCTTCCTCCCCAGCCTCTGCCCTGTCCTTGTATCTTTGGAGGGTCGGATCCGCCCGGGTTTCCCTCCCAAACCCCTCTGGGGAATCCCAGCTTAAGGGGACCTGATCTGGGGTATCAGTCGGGGAAGGAGATCTTACCTGGGTCTCGTCAGCAAGCGGGCTGGTTCCGGCAGCACGGGTCTGGGCACGGGTGGTCACTGGGTTCACGTCTGCAGGGCCCATCGGAGCATAGGCTGAAACCAAAGGGGCCAAATCGGTTCCCAAAAGAACATCTGCGGGCAAGTCCTTCATCACCCCCACATCCACATGCCTAGCGCCCACTCCCCAATCCAAATGTACTCGGGCAACAGGTAAACGAAACACGGCACCCCCTGCTACCCTTACTGCCACAGTGTCCCCGGTGTGCTGATGCTCTGAGACCAAGTTCTTTTGGAGCAGTGTCATCGTGGCTCCTGTGTCTCTCAGCCCATTCACCGCTCTGCCATTTAGTTTCACAGTTTGCCGATGTTGCTGGCGATTATCCTGGTGAGCCGCTTGCACTGGGTCTGCCTCGTGCAGAATGCCCCAAAATTCCTCCTGCTCTAGGCAGTGAGCAGCAGGCTGAGGTGGGCGCTGGTTTCCGTTAACTGGTCTCCTCCAGGACTGAGCCTGGTTGGTACTGTTCAGGGGGCACTCAGGACGCTTGTGCCCCAACTGCTTGCACCCATAGCACCGGATGGGTTGGGAGTACTCCCGGGCATTAAATCGGGCTGGTTGCATATAATTGTTAGCTGGTGGTGCAGCTGGGGTACGGTGTACTGGGGGTTGGTAGACTGCAGGAGCGGGTGTTACTGCTGGTCGATATTCCAGTCTGGCAGGGGCTTTAGCAGCTGTACC